TGACGCATCTGTTTGCTTGTTAAAAATACGTCCAACTGGAGAGCTGTTAGCAAGTCAAGCGAAATCGCTTAATCCCAAGCAAGTTCCGTTGATTGACCATTAGTTTCAAACTGCAAGTTGCTCGCGCTGTATGACAGGACCCATTCAAATACTTGCTTTCTCCCTACTTGGAAATCATTCCAGCGTGGAATGTAGGACTTGAGGAGACTGTCTTATTCATCCGCTTGGATGAGCATTTTTGCTAGTCTGGTTTCTCCCCATCGACCAGGCAACCTATATTTGGACTAAAGAAGAACGCAGAATATAGTGGTGTAAAATGAATCACAAGTAACGGTGATTGCTCAACAGTCTTTCTGTGATGAATATTAAATCTAAAATGCCTAAATACCTAAAACTATTATGAAGCACATAAAATATCATGGCTGGATTTACCTGTGTGGCCTCTCAGTACAAGCTAGATACCGAGGAATAGTCTCTTTCGCATACCCAAATTGTCGGTGAAGTTCATCACCCGGTTGGCTGAGCGTGTTTCACCCGAGTAATAAACCGATTGTTATCCATTTTGCTTGACTTGTGAAGTGTGAGGCTATCAAAAGTTGCTTACGGAGATGAAAGCACAATACCCGGCGTCTTTGGTTAAAAGGAGTCAACTTTGTGGTCTTTTTGGACAACTGTTTTCCCGAAACAAATGTTCAAAATCAAGGAGAACACTTCTAAACATAAAATACACCATGTTGCACCAGGCAACACGAGTCATATAGTCGGATGCCTAAACGTGATGCCGGTTAATCAAGATAGAGAACTAACCTTTAATTCACGAATAATATTGCAAAGATATCGGGTCGAGTTGGAATAAGAGGAAGCTAACGTCAATCTAGGATAATAGGGCTCCATCAAGGAGCTAACTTCCGGTGTCACAAGCCAACAAATCAACTGAAAGAGAGCAAAACCGCCGGACACTTTGATTTCGAAACCCTCCTGAACCACTGCGCGAAAAAGAACGTCAACCACGTTGATCCGCATTTGTTTGTGATTTTTACGAAAACTGTTTTCGAGTATCTGGTTGGTAGTTTATAATTTTAAAAGATCATTTTCATCGATGTTTTGACACAATTTTCAGCTTAAAGCGGAGGTGACCAATAATTAGTACGCAATGCCGAGCGTCATTGGACGAGTTTACTTGACACACCAGGTGGGAACGCGGCGGAACATGATTCGTGCTTAAAAGAAAAGAACCAAAAATCTAAATCGTCAAGATTCGCGGCTCCAGATTTTTGGAGCTATATTTTCCAATCTCACTAAAACTTTCTAATAAAAGAATGAGACAAAAACTCTGCAGAATAATGCGTAATTAATTGCGATATTATAAAAAGGCCCCCGCTTGAACAAAAGGATGAATTTTGCATGTTGCCATTACCCTACAATAAAATCCTAACATTTCATGCTATATATTCTCGGCCTTTTGTAATTTTCTTGTAATGTTTTTATCCGCCTCTATGTTCCCAAGTTTTTTTATTACTTACGTTGAGCTCGTAACAGATTGGCATATACAGGTTCTTGTTCTGACCGCGGCGCTAAACGTGAAAGTCAAATGTGAACACCAGCAACATCGTTGTTCCATTGTGAGTAAAACAAATCTCCACCTGGAGCGAAGCGTCTCATGACACATTAAACAACAAACTCACCAACTGAATCAGTCAAACAAGGCATTTTTTTAATCCTGTATGCAATATTTTTCCTTAGAGTTGCGCCATAAAATTCGATAGTTAATCATCTGCTGTGTTGGGCTATGTTCTCAGTCATTTACCGCAGACCGTTTATTTTATGATTTCGTAAATATTGACGACACCGACTATTGGAACAGATTCGGTAGAGCATAGTCTGAATAACTACTTTTGAGTCGTGGAGTGTGGTTCAAAAGAACGTAACCAGGAGCAAAATAAGAGATGCAAATTTTTGCACGTATTTTTTGTCACGCAGATGAGGCCTGTTGCAGTTTCGATGGGATCACTTTAGGACCAATAATATCCAATTTGCGTGAATTTCACGCAGATAAGCAGAACAGAATGATGATTCAGACTGCTGAAGTTTACATTTGGACTGGTACGTAGATTCAAAATTAGAGGACAGCTTTAATGGCTTGTCTCTTACTGAAACATAGGCGGTACCTGCACCCGCTGACACTGATTATTTATGCTATAGGCACTTCAAGGTCACAAATCATCCTCATGGATGAAGGGGAATTTTGAACTAATGTCTAATAAGATATGCTAACAAAGTAAATAGTCGGGCGAACAAAGACTTCTAGCTATAGACTAGTGTTCCAGAAAGATTCTGGTAAGTCAAAACTGCAGGCGAAAGAAAATATAGGCTAGTTACTGTTATTCTGAGTGCACATTCAGACATGGTCTGTTCGTCGAATTTGGACAACATCCGGTGACCAATGGAATTGAATATGAGTAAGCGAATGTTTAGTAGGTTACCGGTGCGCCAAGTAAATTAACCCTAGTTCTGCAACAGCAATCCCTCAGTGCATGACTAATAAAATACCAGTTTGCCTGTTGTGAGACTGCTAACTACCACTACATTGATTGGCTTTGTTTGAGCGCGGGGATCGAAAATTCAGTTAGCGACAGTTCAAGGTCACAGAAGAAGTGTTCATAACGTTTTCAAAAAGGATACTACCCACAAGGTTGCTGAAAACTCTTTGACAGCCCACGACTGGTTTTGCCCTTCTTGGGGCTCATCAGGTAGGCGCAGTCCCCGAGATTCCGTCAGCCTTATGATCTAAATCAAGAACATTCTCCGAAATTATGCTTTTTGAGTGAAACACGGAAGTGTTTACCAGTGGAAGAAAACACATTTAGAGGGATGCTGAAACATGTGATGTGTTTGTTACAACAAAAAGTAAATGACGGAAAGTTTTTGTGAAAACATTCCCTGAATCACGAGAAGTTTTCTGAGAAACGCAAGTAAACAGACAACGAATAAGTTGAACAAAATGCCTTCACTTGGGGGTTGGAAATAGTTTAAACTTGTCGCAACCTCACCCATCAGACGGATGAACTTAAAAAAACTCCTTTTCACTGATTAGAATGCACGTTGTCGAAAAGATTTCATATGCTATAAAATTACGCGCAGAAACAGGTGGTTTTTGGTGATGAGACCTTATCATCCAGGAATTTTTGTACCATGTGGAAATTAACGATATAGTTTATAAGGACTGGCCACACTGAAGAATTTTCCATAGTTTCATTTCTGTGATAAAAAGCAGATTACGGTTAAACTGCAAAGAAACCACGGTTCAGTTTCAATTCTGGAAGCCCAAATGTTGTTTCTAGTTTTTGGTGGTAGAAAAAGTACAAGTCCAATAACTCCCCAACTGACAATGAATCGTCAGGATGTACCGCCCTCGGACACAGACAAAAGTACAAACACAATGGCTATAATATGGCTGAAAAAGGCCAGTTGATGGACTTAGGAGACGAATATCAGATAAGGGTTAAAATCGGGACAGGAAAAGATATTCAAAAACATTATCAATTGGTGATTAGAAATTAAATGTGACGAATAGCATGAAATTTGCTACTGTTTGTCAGGGATCCTCAGAATGGTGTTTATTGCTCCGCAGCGGGTAGCGCAATGTTTTTTTATCTGAGTTCTACGCACACAAGGTCAAAATCGATTTTAAATTCAGTGCATACGTTGAACGTTTGAAGTTTCTGAGGCTCCAGAATTGGAGTAAATAGTCGAAAGTTTGTGATCTTAATTGCGCGACACATATTTCGTGAAAAACTTCATCACTCTTCAAAATTAAACAACACGTCACCGAAAGTTGAAAAAGACGATTGTACTATAAATGGGCTTGCTAACACTCACTCTTTCGCATGCCATGATTTTGCGATTATTCTTCAATTTTACAAGCTCCGCTCTGTTGTTCATCCCTCGGTGCACCACTAGAGTGTTCTGCCACTCAAACGTGACAAAAGGCCAACCCATTTAATTTTAAAGAAAATTCAGCGTTGAACTACCGTCAGATATAAATAGGTGGATGAACAAGTTGGCCTGACGTGCTACCCGTGCGTGAATATATGCAAGAGCAGTTTTATTGAAAAATTTGTCATTTCCACAGATGTTGGTAGGACTGTTCTTACTCCAAAGCGGTAAAGTCAAATTTTGATTTGGCTAAATTGTCACATTGAAGATTCCTGAATAATGAGCATCAATGATGATTCGAAAGTTGTAAATTCTGTTTTAAATCACCAATTCTTGAAATATGGAGGCAAAAATGCGAGTCATGTTGTTGCATGCGGTTTGGGTAGATTTATCTGACGGAGCTGAATTTTATTACCACACACATGTTGAATAACGTCTGTTGAACCTTAGGTTTTCCAAAAATAGGGATTCTCCCTGAACTTTATTCACATTGCAAGGTGTACGTGAGCCATGGTATGCCTTGTTGGTTCCTTTTTCCAGGTAGTTCCTCCCGGAAGGGCCCTCATTAAAATAAATGGCGGCAAGCCTCCGACAAGCCATAGATACACAAAAATTAGAGAAATATTCTAAAATAATTCTGATCATTCACTTTATTCTCCCGATGCGAAATCACGTCTGCGAGAAACTGAGTTTACGAGGACAGCCAATCAGGTTAAGCCAATCAGATGGGCCGATATAAAGTAGGTCTGCACCTTGTTTGACAAGATCATTTCCAATTGTGACCAACAGCACTCGTTTAGATTGTGATATTGCTGGAATCAAGCTGTGATATAATCGATCAGCTAAGACGTCCTTTCGGTGCCTAGCTATCATGCCACCGGAAAGGAACACGATGTATGGGATTCTACCAGGTTGTCAAGGCCTAGATATGAAAAGTTAAAGTAAATATACAAGATGGATAAACTCAACTCCTTTAATTTTCTAACCACTGCAAAAAAGTATCTCAAACATCGGTTAGTTAAAGCAAAACTCGTATCAGTCGAGTTGTCATTGTGCGCGCTTACCGTTCACATCGACCTGCGCAATCATGTGTTTTAATTCCATCTGTGAAACTTCATGCCCCAAGTAGGCCAGTGCTGTCTCCAATTCGTCGCAAGAAATAGAACCATCTCCGTTCCTGTCGAAAAAGTGAAATGTCCAACGAATGTCTGAAATGCGGAAAATATGCGGCACTCATTTCCGGTGTTGTTGGACTGTCTGACGTCAACTGAGTATGTACGATGACGAAGCGCACAAGTCGAGCTATTGTGGATCTCCTCACAGTATGTACGATGATGAAGCACACAAGTCGAGCTATTGTGGATCTCCTCACGTGACATCGTTGAATTTTATGATGCGTGCAGAGTTCCCATTACAGACGATGACCAGATAATAGGTTTACTCAGACTGAGTGTTAATAGTAGTGTATTCGATATTTAACATTTTCTGTGCCTCTCAGCGAGGACTGTATATGATCTCTTTATAATAACTACCTCGTAAATGCAAGTGTCCTTCCATCAAAGTACACATGAGGTACACGTAACGACTAGCTATATAAAAATAAAACCCAACACTTTAATGCAGAGAAATATGGCAGACAATAGACCCTGTAAACGGTCGACAATACAGGAAGTTATGATCTACTCGACCCATAGCTACTCAGCTAGAAGTTGTACGTTTTGTCGTTCTCCTCTCTTCAATTCACATACTGCTTAGTAATAATCAGAAGCAAACGATCTCTGAAAGCGTTTGGTTAGCAAACGGTTTGTCATCGACTTTAACACGTTTGACTGCTTTCAAAAAGCAGACAAGTAGTTAGTCATTCACATTCACTATTTCGATGGAGAGAGAATGCGAGATGCTTTGACCCGCGTTAGTCTTGACAACTTTTGTCGATTAATCATCATAAACCATCGTGTTTGGTTACATGTTTCGAAAAGCGCATCGTTTAGGGGAGTGTCATTGAACCGCAACCCGGGAGACTTGTAGTTACGTAGCCAGAAAAGAAAATTTAGCTTCGCGTCAAGTGCGATGACCGGACCAGTACAGGCACAAAACTGGAAATAATCAACTATTCGATTCCTAAAGAAACCACAGTCTCACTCATAAAGAAAACGAATATCTTCGCATAGTTGGGAACTGCATGCGAGCGTGCTTCGGGCCAATAGATTTGGAGGCATTCCAATCCCTGCAATTCGCACCAACAATGAAGCTTATGTGAACATAAAGTGCCCTTCCGGGATCCATTAAAACATTTTCCAGTGAAGTCCTTTAGACGAAAAATGCCGAAAGGGATAATTCTCTATAAATGGCACCCTAATAACAAGGTGCTTTGATGCGTTGTCCAATCCTCCATATCTTATTTTATTTCGCGAACTGTTCCGTCAGATTTTCTAAAGTGTCTTGACAGAATTGCTTACGGAGGTCATTATCAGGCTACCATGTTCTGACAGATGTACAGCAGCATTTTTGGGCTGGCTTTTGGCAACAAACACTCTGTAAAACACCCCATCTTACTCTCGAGCGCTTCAATTCCCTTTTGCGGAGGCATCCTGCAGATGAGTAGTCCAAATTCCAATGCTTGTAATTTATTTCAAATAAAAAGGACTTTATATACACGTGCTAGTTTTTTAAGGGGTTGTAGCAATTCACCAACGACAAGGAGCATATCTAATTCAAATCCAGAATCCGTGACTGATGGCTTCACTAATTCTTAGATAAAGATTAGCTCAAGTTCTTTCAGTTGTTGTAGAAATGGTTGCCATATCTATCAAACAGTGTTCAGCGCAAAGGCTACGTTAACCAAGTAACCCATGCTGGAACATTCAATGAAAGCACTGGTTTACCAAGAAAAACGTCCAGACATTTCGTCCAGGGTTTTCGGTCAAATCTGAACCCAGCAAGTGAAGCGCAAGAAGTATACGCCCAGTTCGGACGTGGTTCACAGTATTTGCATACGGTATGTAATGATCCAGCGGCCTAGGACACTTTGCTCAGTGAGGTGGAATTTATCTGCTGTTTCCTGCACACAAGAAACGAGTTAGTTCTGTGTCACGCAAGAAATAGTTGTCACCGTCTACTTTAGCATACATGTTGGAAGCAAAACATGGACCCAGTCTTTTATGTTCTACTTTTGTTGACAACGTGTATAAATATCAGTTTATTCTGGTATAGTAGTATGATAGTATTAAGCGACCACACAACGAATTCATTTTGCTCCCGTGATTTGCTACCCATAGAACCTGTCGGTTTCGAGGTGTTCCTTCATTAATGGAACGGAAGCTATCCAAACAGGCAAAATTAGTTGCAAATTCATCTCGCCAGGACGAAAAATCTTCGATTGTGTATCGTTAAATTAATCTCGCTTTTCGAGAGGCGTATTGCTTAAAGAAACTAAAAATGTTTATCAACCTTTTTCGAAGCAGTCTCAAAAGCCTCTTTTCTGCAGCTGGATCGACTTATAAAAAAGGCACTATCATGGTTTTTATCAGAAATGCTCCCGGAGTCTGAGGAAAAGACTATCGCATACATTTTACCTTGATGATAATTTGTCATTTTCGCAAAGTTTTCCTGATGACAATCAGACTTCAAGCTAGTACTTCAATGACCCAGACCACAGTTTCACTTTAGTTCAAGTAGCATGCCGAACATTTTATCACGTGCGTGTGAACTGATACTGTCCCCACACCTATGACGAAAGTGCTAATTTTTACCCTGGGTACATTCGTTGTGAACAGCGCTCACAATGATACATTCTAATCTCCGTGTTGCCCAAAAATCTATACCCTCGCTAGATTTATGGGCACACAGCAAGTCCTTTTGAGGTCGCATCTGACATGGTTTCCGGTGAGATAAATCTGCATTGAAGAACTGAAATTTACGATACGATTCATCCTCTCAAACGAGAAATGCTGAAAAGTTCGAACACGTTTCCGCTCTCTCGACAGATGACTAGTTTCGCAAGTGCGTAAGTCATTAAAAATACTCTCTACTTGACAAAACTTAGCTTGTTTCCTCCTGAGTAAACGCCTGTACTGTGTTTTCTTCTGTTAGGACGTGTTTGAAAAGAAAGGTTCCAACATGTAACATAGATTTTTGTCAAACGTCCTGTTGTATCGTGGGTGGCCGTCTATTGGGTTAGGCCTGCACTGAGCCTGCCAGACTACGCGATAAGGAGAGAACAGAGAACCGGGGACACGGCTGTATTGCCGGGACAAAACATACAGAGCGTCTGCCTAAGTATAAAGGAGGACTAAACGGCCGCCTGTTCGTTCCGTACAGCCAATAGCGGTGTTCTGGTCATGAACACTCTCAGTCCCACTCCACTGGTCTCATGTCGCTAAGCCGTGTTTGGTGGGCTCCACCAACGCACCTGCTTTCTGGAGGTGCCGTACCGATGGTGCACCACTCTCTGCACATGTACTTTTTCCATGTCTGGGTGCGTCCTGACACATTCGTCCACCGTTTTAGAGGTTTAGAGCCTTTGGAAGCTCTTTAAGTTTGCCGAACGTGCTAAGTAGGGATGAGAAGTCAGTTGCATCCGTTACTCCAAAATGTTGCACAAATATTTGTCAGCCTAAATGTTGGTGAATCTTGCTGCATTGAATCAGATTAAACCTCACTGTGGAAGTGTGCAATTACGGTCCACTGGGGCGGACAGATAACAAAAAATTGTATAATTATTCCATCACCGCACAGTAAACTGGCGTGACCGTTTTAAAGTTGTCAGATGTAATTGGTGAGTTCCTGTTTTGCTTTTTACAGCTAGTAAATAAGGTTTGTTTTAACAACCATCTCAGGCAAGAGATTAGTCATGGGAATGGTGCACGTTTTTAAATCAACTTTGGTGGATCGCTGGAATGCAGACTGATCCGAACGGACAAACAAATAGAATCGGTGTTAGTCGAACGTCAAAAGCAGGTGCTTCCACGATAGATCCAAAGAAGACAGTCAAAGGGAGGTGATTTGTAATGCTTACTACTTATAAGGTTGCTGAAAACTCTTCGACAGCGCAAGACTGGTTTCGCCCTTCTTGGGGCTCATCAGGTAGGTGCAGTCTCCGAGTTTCCATCAACCTCATGTTCTAATTGAACCCAAATTGGACTGATTTCGACAAATAAACTCATTTGCAAATCAATCTGGTTTTCACGGGAAACTCAACTGAGTCCCTTGTCTATGATTTGTCAATGAATGTATTTGTCAGAGGTACTTTATCTTGGATGTTGGTCGGGCAAAAGCGAGCCAGCCAATGATTAGCCACAATGATGTAGGCAGATAACCAGGCCCTGTTTCTTTCATGTGGCGGTTGCTTTTTTATGGTTATCCTACATCCTCTGTAAATTGTCAATGAGCAACACGTTTTCTTATTGAACTTTATGGTCGCGGTTAACCAATCGGTGATTTGTGGGCCAATCGATACATATAGATCAGTGAGCGGATGAAAGTTAGTGTAGCACATGGTGTTGGATTCAGCAAGTGCATGCAGTATCAGAAGGGATCCTCGATAGCACTGACAAACTTACAAATTGGGCGGAAAAAAGCTTCAGAGTTGTCAGGTCCAACAGGCTGGGATGTAGCTCCTTGGTTGTTCTCAGAGCTCCGTTTTCGAAAGGTTTTATGCCACAATCGCGGCCACTGCGGCTGGCATACTGATAGGAACCATTTTGAATAAGACCATGTATGTGGATATGAGCGAACAGATATGGAACACGTAGAATGAACAATGCCGTGTGCTGGCCTCTTAGGCGAATCAACCCTTTAACGTTTGGTTGAGCAACTGAAAACCTTTGCCTATGGCGGAAAAAAGCTTCAGAGTTGTCAGGTCGATAGGTGTGTCCCTTGGCAGAAGGACGATGAAAGTGCCAAAAACTTGCCAGAATCAGTTAAACTGCAAACATTGGACGAATATTCACTACATATTGGACTACATTAGATTCCTCAAGAGTATGCATCGATTTTCCTTCACTTTTCTCCACAGAACGAAAGATTTTGCATTCAAGAAAAATGTGCAAATATCCCACAACAATTTCAGTATTACTGCGTCTTTTCGGATAGAGTTCCACTCAAAAGGAAAGTTATTGAGGCCCCACAGGCAGGGGTGTAACATGTCAGCTTCTAGGAAGTCGGTCTCAAGCGGAACAACTCCCATTTACGCGCACCACTGAGAGTTGTATATGTCAAAAAATTTAGTATTTCTAGCATTTAGTTAATTTTGGACACGAAATTTATCCCTTAATTGAGGAGGACTTTAAAAATTCACCAAAATGGATGTTTTTTCCAACGAATCATATTGTTACTCACTTAAATTAAAGCGTAATATGACTGCACTACTTACTCTTTTCGCATGGGACCTACCGCTTCTGGACTTTGGAACATCAGAATTTTAAAAAAACGATTGCCGCGAATATGAAGTGATCTGCTGAGTGAACACAGCTTTGGCATTGCAGATGAACTCTTGTAACATCAGGTAAGAAAGCTTCTGTTTATGCCGTTACGAGTAATGTGGCTGCAATTACCCGTAATCGTTCTTCAGAGCCTGACAAAAATAGTATCATCCTGTGCGTCATTCGCACTTTTTTCTTAAACTTCTGTTTGAACAAAACGAAAAAGGTGCTGCTGTTTTCCGAGCGGCTGAATTAAATTTATCTTGATGAGCAGAACATGGTGATTTTCTGTACATCTGTGCAAAATCAACTCGTTCCCCTTAGTCTTGTTACATTTTACTGGCACACGCAAAATAAGCGCATTTTAAGTGCAACAAAAAAGGAACGATTGGCGGGGATCGAAGCTACGTAAAGAACAGCTGCTGGTGACAGACTCACCATAAGTTGAGAGCAAAAATCCAAATAGATGCATTAATTCTTGGCAGCTGATCACGTAGCAGTTGGATTACATCAGCCAATTAACTCATCTAAGCTACAGTCTGTTAAGTACATTGTCATAAAACGTTCCTTTACTTTGAGGGAAAGCAAGGCATTAACAAACGTAAGAGTCATCTCCGATTCCATCATCCTACGTCTTCTGTAAAAAGTAAGCCAGCAAGTAGATTTGGGATTAGCCTTTGTCGTCCTACTTTCCATCAGCTTATTGCAAGGCTGTGGCAAACTGGTCCACAACTTTGAAGGCTAAAGAACTGAGTGCATCTGGTTCAATGTCACCAGCCATTGCCGAATAAGGCTAGCCACACAATCTCCTCGTTTATGTTAATTTGACCTGCACCACCGTAGCTGCTTGTGTAACTCTCGCTTCAAACCTTTCATCCAGGGATTGTGGCTCCTCGGAAACAGAGCTGCCGACATAGCTTTTGCACTTTAAAATGGTTCATTTGAAACTTTCACCAGAAGCACTTTTTGTAAGCAAGCAGATATACATGCAGGTGAATAGATATGACGTAGATGGTCTGGGCTATACCATATATTAGCTTTTAAGGCACCAACCAATCGACAAGTTAATCGCTGTGTGGTCGGTAAGGCAACCATATGTTAGTTTACTCATTCTCTTGCTGCTGTACAGCGGAATACATCGGACGCATGACTAGGCTACTCGGCCAAAGAATGAAGAAACACAATCCACCCTGGTTAGCTTCTGGAACTAGGAGGACAATAACCAGCTCAGTAGTACAACACCTAGCAGACACCGCGCACAACGTGTACTCATCCAAAGCTTCCGCATTGTTTACGAGGCGCCAGCTAATCAACCCAGATCAGTACAGCAACGCACAATTGCAGTGGCTGAAGCTATCCCCATATGACATCGCAACCCGATCCCTTGTCGGCAAAAACGCTTTGTTCGCGGGTTGTACTCACCATGGTCCAACTCACCTCCCCTCACACTAACACCTTACGTTGAACACAACCACAGCACTAAATGCTGATGACCTGAACCAATTGTTCTTTGATAGGTAGCCAATGTCGTCTCCCAATCAACTTCCTGTTCATGTACACCATACTCATTCAACTATGTTAAATACTGCTCTCTTACTCTTTACAGTTGTACGACTTGAAAAGACCCTGCCGAAAACACGTTCGTCAACCCGCCTGTGTTCTTATTATAAATGGGTGTTTTCGGAACATAAACGTTCTGTCTATTGCGGAATAGGGCTCCCGCGAAGACAACTTGACGTAGGATAATTAAAGTGGAAGTGCGGCTGTCAATCTGTCCAGGTGGGACAAGATAGAAATCGAGTTCAGACGGCAACAGGTTTTTTTTTGCTTGTTTACACTATTCTTCAAAGAATAAAGCATTATTCTTTCGGAAAAAGTTCACACACTCCATCTACCCGTGCTAGATCACCTCTTTAAATCCATAAACTAAGATATGGATAACGCCTGCAAAAGTGTAATGATTCATCACTGCCTATTTGAAGCAGATGTGAAGCAAAAATAATGATAATTCCTCAGGTAAATTTCAGCTTGTGTTATTCACTCTCCTAATGATTTGAACAGGTGCCTAGTGACCAACCTACCCGCCAGTTGTTCTCTCGTCAATATTCCCTTTTGTAAGAGTTCGTAGGCATACGCTTCGCCTTGGTCTGCATTCTCCATTGACTGATGTGTTGATACGATTACCATCTAAACGGTTGGGAGTGGAACATCACATAGTCGAAAGAAGCAGTTTAGCTTTTAACTCGATCTAAATGTGTAGACGTTTATATACAGAAATTTTTCGTGCGTCCGATTATACGCTCGATTCTCATTGGTCAGCAGACGTGTTTTCTATTGGTTGGCTCTAACTGTCAGACCTCGTGCTTGATTTTTGGTTTGAAAGCTGCTCCAAGATTCATAGCATTTCTCAGTCAAAATGGAAGGCTGAGTCAGTCTGATATTCTGAAAGCCCGAATTTCCTTTCTTATAGGGTTGTCAGTGCAAATTCGACATCTGAGGAGTTTTTATTTTTTTACCCAGGTATGAATAAAAAAGTGAGTCGGCTAAAATATTAAGAAGAGCGAAAATAACTAATGAATGGGTCTAATTTTTTGGAAAAAGTCATTTCCACTTAGTTACTAATTTTAGCTCTTTTCTGCGTTTCAGTAACTAGACATGGCATAATCCAGACAAATCACTCATCATATCGCATGCTCAAGTTGAGCTTTCTATAAGACTAAAACTAAACATTGTTAATCTTTGCGTAGGATGTTAAATTAGATGTCAACGTGCTTCAGAATAAGGACACTGAAGTTTTTTACGCCAAAATTTTATCATGTCCTTACACTACCGTACGACATCGTTTTTGGCGTTGAAATCAAACTTGGAGGATGTTAAATTAGATGTCAACGTGTTTCAGAATAAGGACACTGAGGTTTTTACGCCAAAATTTTATCGTATATCTTTATTTCACATGTTCTTACACTACCGTACGGCATCGTTTTTGGCGTTGAAATCAAACGTGGTAATTTGGCGAGCTGTCGGGGTTAGACCTCCGGTTGATCATTCGGATTCTCAAGGGTCAGAAGGAGAGCAAAAATGGTCTAGGGCTTTTTGTAAGAAAACGGCGTGGAGAATTCTCCTAGCATCAAGAAAAAAGGAAGTACTTCCATCGCGGCAAAAGCAACTGTGAGCACTGACGATAGAGCAGAACGAAGCAAACCTTGGTAAACGCAAGCCGCAAGGAATCGTTCACTCAAAATTTTGGAATTTGCCTTTGCTAAGTTTGCAACAATTCAAGGCAATTCAAACATGCTCGTCCCGAGACAACGGAGGCAGAACTGTGAAAGTCAGGGATGTTCTCATTCTATCTTTATGAGTGCTCTTTTTTCCGTTAATGAAAACTGGCTGTACCACGTCAAGTTGTCATCACATTGGGTTATTTTTGGATTGGACAGGAAAATCGATTCATCATGCTACTACTATTTTTTGGGGGGGGGTTGTTGCTTGACAACTAGTTTGATCCAACTATTGGGGGTTTTGTGACAACTAGTTTGATCCAACTATTTTCGTCCAAGTTTAGCAGCTTCGAAATCGGAGTGTTCTGGTAACTCCTGTGGATTGTCTTTGTTAAATTGGTTACTGAAATGATGTTATGAATGTGCGAGCGCAAAAAAGCCATTCCACTGGCCACCTAGTATACGGAGAAGACAGATGGGATGCTTGCCTGATGCGGTTTGCAAATACAGGACGTTTTGCACGAAAGTGGCTAATCGATTAGCGTGTTGGGTAGGTGGCAGTAAAGTCAACGTTTGATAAATTTGATCGAGAGTGAGCAAGACGCACTGTTGTACATAGATCGTGACGATGTGGCAAGTAGCACTTGAGAAACTTTCTGCTAAACACAAAAAACGAGTTGACAACGTGTACTACTGAAGAGATCCATGTCCAACCGATTTCTAAAATATCGGTACACCCGTCATACAGTAAGTTCTGGCTGTAAGTGAAATCCTCAAACAAGTGGTTGTCATACGAATCGCAATCCTTAACAAAAAGGAGGATTTCAGCTTCCTTTCTGATTAGTCGCTATCAGATTTCATTCCGGTTCTCAATAATTTATCTTTTCGGGCGACAACATGCTTTGATTTATTGTCAAAGTTACCCATTCTACTCACGGTGTGATACAACAGTTCTTGAACTTTTGTTCTTGATGGCAAGTCACTCCGCAAGCATACTGGTATTCATTGCTCAGCGCCCTTTCAGCCAGCTTAAACAAGCAATTTTGTCTCCGGAGAGGAGCGACACGCCTCTTAGCTGCCTCATGGGGTTAAATTGACTTATATGCTACTAATTTGGTATTTCTGCTAATTTCGAGATATTTTGATCGACTCCACAGCTGCGCTGTCATTATCGCCTTACCGTGAGCTTAAAAGCAAAGTAATCAATAATCAGCTCGGTCAAACAAATGCGAAATTCGGCCAACTTCGGCAAATTTTCAGCAACCTTATGAGTAGTGCATTACGAATCTAGATGCGAACTTTATTCAGTGGAAGATTCCTGGAGCTGACTGTGGCTCGTATCCTGACAACAATATCGATCAATCGATCCTATAGTAAACGCCCATGCTTCATGTATTTGGTCTCTTGATTCCATCTGAGAAGTCGCCTCCCTCGAGTAGCAAGTCGATAGATTCCATGACTGAAACATGAAGGGTGCTGTATCTTATGTGTGTCATCTAATCAAACGGCGGATCAGCGGCTCGTGACCAACAGGTTAGATACTCACACTACTGGCTTAGCTCGACTTCACTCAACGTATGAAATCCCCTACTGAAAATCAATTTACATCCATTTTTTCACATATACTTATTCGTACGCTATTGCAACTTCCGTATGCGTATCCGCATCTGTCTGAAGTGTGGCAATATTCCAGAATTAGCGCGGCAAGCTGATGACCCACTATCAAAGTGTCGGTGGTTTATGAAACTTAGCAAACCGTGAAGAAAATTGAGAAACTGGGTCCCATTAAAACCGACTTCTGTAAATAGCTCAAGTCATAAATTGCACTTCCGTTTTCTGTTCGTAGAGTTGCATGTACAATGGATGAACTCATGGAAGTTGGTCCGTAAGTCCCATGAACGCTTGATCGATTTGACGATTTAAAATCTCTACAGTAGCTAACTCTTTAATTTGGATTTGTTGTTACTGTTGTTGTCACCTGTCGTCTAATTTGAGCTGCTGTGACCTTTGGATCACACTGTAGGTTAGTCTGGTCGCAGTGGGAAACTTTCAGTTGGGTGTATAACAGGAAGGACAAATGAAAAATTTACAAATCCCACTACCCTATTGGCTCAGGCCTTATCCATCTGTTCTCTGATTCGAAGAAAGCGTGTTGCGGATAACTGAGGGTTTGTAACAAACACTAGACCTCTGTTAGTGGAAAAGAAAATGACCAATGATCAGAACCGTAAAAAATGGTCGTAAGATCCTGGCGAAACGACCCTACACACTATGGAAGACATCCTGACGTGCTGTTTTTCAATTGGGTAACTGTTTTTTGCCCAGAACTTGTTCGTCTACGTCGATCATGTAATCTGGTGTAAGTAATATAGTTTAGACATCGTTAACAAGCCGGATAAAATGTGCACTTCACAAAGAGATTCTCCTCGTTCCTAGCTTTTTAGTTGGGATGAAAACATTTGGGCCATACAGGCAACGTTTTGTTCACTATGGCCAAATAACTGCTGAGAGAATCCCTGCAAGGAACGCGGAAAAGCTGAACGCACATAACAGATATTCAGAAAATCTGTCCCCCATATAAGGGTGCCCCCAAACAGCAACCACTTTTGACATACACTTAGAGTGTTCTATTTGGGGAAGACTAGTCACGCACTTGGCGACGTGCTTATAAAAACTGACCTTTTATCTGCCTAATGAGTTCGGACTGTAAAAATCTTGTTTCCGTAACATTTGAAGCGCATTTTATTTGACGAATTTTTGGTGCAAGTAATATAAGTTAGACATTGTTAACAAGCTGTAGAAAATGTGCATTTCACAAAGAGATTCTCCCCGTTCGTAACTTTTTAGTTGACTTCAAATCAGTTGGGCCATAAGCGCATACAAGCAACATTTTGTTCAATAAGGAAACTGCTCAAAAGGTTGCTGAAAACTGTTCGACAGCCTACGAACGGTTTCGCCCTTCTTGGGGCTCATCAGGTGGGCGGAGTCCCCGAGTTTCTGTCAACCTTATGTTCTACTTGTGTGCAGCACATTCAGTGGTAGAACATCATAAATGAGGGGTCCAGTTGAGTCTCTCGTGAGAGCCAAATTGATTTGCAAATGCGTATATTTCTCGAAAACAGTTCAATTTGGGTTCAAGTAGAACATAAGGTTGACCTGATGAGACCCAAGAAGGGCGAAACCGGTC